ATCTTCATTCTGGATCAGGGAAGTGGCTTTTATTTGCACTAAAAAGAAATGTAAGGGGCTTTTAATATTGCGATTTGACTCATCAGTATGACACATTTGTTGTATTCTGTGTAAAGTGCTCAATGCTTGAGAATTCTGATGCTTTGCAGAAAAAGATGAAAAAGTTCCTTCCACTTCTGTTGATTTTCTTTTTTTTAAAAAAAAAACATAATAAAACTTAGCGTTCTGTTCTTCCACTGGGGGGAAAACGGTTGATGTGGCAGCTTTTTAATGCCGGAAATCTTGAGCCGGAGTAATTAAGGACAGTTTTTCATAACTTTCACGGGCACAAGGAGACTGGGCAGTGGCCTAAAACAGCTTCAGTGAATGCAGTGTTCTGTTCTTCGGGCCAAAGTTCTGCTTTTTCAGGAAGACTGACTGCATTGTGTGCCGCACGTGAACGGACCATCTCCAACCGTAGAGAAAGCGCTAGCATTCGAAACTGGCATTCCCCTTCGGCGTGCGGCCGGCATGCTTTCGCCTCGTTTTCTTACTGACTCAAACATAAAATAAATAAATAAGTAACCCCAGGACCATTTAAATCTCAAGGGACCGCTTTCCCTCTGAATTCATCTGTGTTCTTGGTCAGTTGATGTTTCTAATTAGAATGTAGCTCTAAGTGGACACTGACGCACAGAAATGTCAGTCTCATAATTTGTAACGACTACAGGGAATCCCGTCTTACTGGTGTGTCGGAGTTTTTAATCACTTCCCCAGTGTTGGACTTTTGAGAGGGTTACCAGGTTTTCACTGTTTTATAAATAGTGTTGCTATGAGCAATCATTGTATAATTTTTGTCAGAGAGAAAGGCCTACTTCCTGGAAGCAAGTTCCTGAAAATGGAAATATAACAGGTCACGTGTGTATTTATCCTTACTTCACCACCGGCACATTTTCTGTAAATGTAGCTTTTTTTTTTTTTTCCAGCTTCCACCAGCTTTGGGATTTATCTTTTTTACTGGCTTTTGCTAGTGATGACAGACGTGTCATAGATCTAACATTCTTTCATTTGAAGTTTTCAAATTTCTGGTGATGCGGTATTTTGCAGGTAAATCATTTACGGTCTAATCCTGGCATACGGCTTTACTGTAGAGAATGTGGGTACGATCACATATTCGCATGAATTCTTTATAGAGTTGGAAAAGTAAGCTTTTCAAAAAAATCTCATCAGTATGTCATAGTGTCAAGAACTTACCGGATGCCGGACACAACATTTAACACTTTCTGTGTTATCTAATTTAATCATCACGATGTCCTTGACTCAGGACAGTATTATGTGGTGGTTAAGAGTGAAGTCAGATAGTCCTGGGTCCAAATTTCGGCTTTGCCACTTCCTCCTTGTTGGTGAATACCTAACCGCTCTGAGCCTCCCTTGCCACCTCTGTATATAATGAGGACAGGATTGTAGGTACTTCATAGTGTTGTCATGAGGACTAAGTGACACGATACAATGACAGCCTAAGCGCATAATAAGTGCTCGATAAATGTTAGCTGCTACTGCGATCACCATTTTTTCTTCTGTGGTTACCGTATGTCATTTACCTTGACGTATATAACAGTGTGCTGGTAACATGGAGTCCTGGATAATCGATGTGATGGGTCTTCTGAGACCGTGTTCTCTGCTCTTGGAGGTCTTTTGGAGTCCTGCAAATTGGTATTCTTCTGTCCTTCTCGTTGTCCTTCTAACATTTCATAACTTTCCTCGGGGGGCCCTAACATACAGGACTACAGTTCCTTTTATGCACATGTGACTTTCTCAGATGCTGGGACCCTCCATATGAAAGGCCTTGACTTAGACTCCGGTATCCCCTGTGTCTCCTCACACACAGTAAGATCTCCCTATTTAGATACTGAGTGAATGGCTGTATTCTGGTGTTGCTTTTTCTAATGTTTATTTATTTTTTGTGAGAGAGGGACAATACATGAACGGGGGACAGGCAGAGAGAGAGAGAGAGGGAGAGACACAGAATCCAAAGCAGGCTCCAGGTTCTGAGCTGTCAACACAGAGCCCGACGCGGGGCTCGAACTCACGAACTGTGAGATCATGACCTGAGCCGAAGCCGGACGCTTAACTGACTGAGCCATGCAGGCGCGCTGGCTAATATTTTAGCTTGAAAATCAAGTTTGTGTGCAAGAAACTTGAGATGACCAGCTTCTGTTTTAGTAGATAACACATATTATGAACCACTTTTGTATTTGTGATCATGTTTTTTGAGAGGAAAAGGCTGTTTTCCTCATTTTCTGAATCTAACGACAGGGCACATTCCTTCCGTCCTAAGAATCCCGGCACCTTGCAGGAGCCTGTTGGAGGGCGGGGACCTGCAGGAGGTTGTGAACCGTGCAGCTTGGCTGCTCGGTTTTCTGCAGCCTCGAGTGGAGTTTTCACACCTGGGAGGCTTCTCCTCGCCTGCAGCTTTCATGCCCCCCCTGCGGCTGGCAGTGCTGCTGGGGGTAGGGCCTCCATGAAACCGGTTACCTGGCTCCGTAGGATCCTGGGAATCTGGGGTAGGGGGCACTAAAGCTGTCAGTTTAATAAAAATTCATAACGGGTGCTTAACGGTCTACTGCAAATAATTGCAACCCTGGCAAACGGGTCCGCTCCCCCAAAACCAGCTGCGATCCCGCGCGCTCGGGCAGCTGCAGGAGGCCTGTGGGCATTCTGCCCACCAGGAGAGCGTTCCCAGGGGAAACCACGGAAGCTGAGTGTGTCCAGGCCTTGGGGGTGATCCTGGGGACAGAAAGCGCAGAGTAGAAATGTTAGGTAAGGAAGCAGGCGACAGGGGGCTTAGAACCAGGGTCGCAGACCTCGTCCCGTCTCCCCGGGGATGCACAGCTCTCCGTGGCACTTGGAACAGACCCGCCAGACTCAGAGGGTTTCTGACTTAGAAGGTCGCGTTTGGACCAAATGACTTCCAACTTTCCGTCCAGCTCTAACGTGCTACACCACTTTGGTTCGTGTTATGGCCTTGGTAGCATTTTAGTGTTTACATTTTTAACTTGCATTTTTATGTTTTGGAACCTTTCCTTAGTTGGTGTCAGAGTATGGCTCTGATACCCATGTATCCGTGGTACAAGCTAATCATGTGAAATTACCTTTTGCAGTCGTTGGGTGTTTATAGTAGTTTGGCTAAGGAACTTCAAATTACATTCAGTTCATATTGTCCAAAGCCACGGAAAAATGCTCGAAGCAGGAAACGAATGTCTTATCGCAAAACTGCAAATATGTCAACGCTTAGTTCATTATGTAAGAAGAGTGTTTTTAGATTGCTCCTTTAGAAGAGACGTGTTCTGGCGTAAAGAAGCAGTTCCCACTTTGGGAGGTCTTGGACGGTCGTGGCAAAGAGTAAGCATCCCAGAGATGGCTTCCCAAGGTCACATTCCAAGCCTGCCACTCTCCTGCCCTTGACTCGGGGTACGCCACATAACCTCCCTGACCTCGTTTGTAAAGTGAGGATGACCCTCCTAGAGACATCGCACAGACGAAATGAGAGGTACATTTAAAGCTCTCGGTTCACTGCTGGCACGTGGGCGTGCCTCACCAGTGTGAGAGTTCCGCTGAAGGTGAGGCATTTCAAAATACGGTATTTTGACGCCAAGGACTTTCTAATCATCCCTTGTTGGCTTAACTTTGGGTTCATTAGAATTTTTTTTTTAATTTTAAATTTATTTTTATTTTTCGAGAGAGGTGGAGGGAAAGTGCATGCATGCAGGGGAGCGGCAGGGGGAGAAGGAGGGAGAGAATTTTTTTTTTAACACTTTGTTCATTTTTGAGGGACAGAGAGAGAGCGCGAGCAGGGGAGGGGCAGAGAGAGGGGAAGACACAGAATCTGAAGCAGGCTCCAGGCTCTGAGCCGTCAGCATAGAGCCTGACGCGGGGCTCGAACTCACGAACTGTGAGATCATGACCTGAGCTGAAGTGGGAGGCTTAACTGACAGAGCCACCCAGGCGCCCCTGGGGCCCTGAGAATTTTCAAATTAGTTCTACTAAGTGATGGCTGCCAAAGGGCTGATGTTTATTTTCAGTAGCATCTTTCCCCAGTCGGCAAGCGTTTTGTGTCCTTGGTTTGGTCTGTTTACTTTCTAGGTTTACGTAGGGGGATTTAGGCAGTAGCAAGTGCTGTCCTCAGCTAGAAGCTAGTTACTGAATTTTCTCTGAGCGACAGCACAGTGCCAGCCATGAGAATAGAGAGAGGGCAGGGTGCTGCCAGTAAGTAGACGAGGTGGAGGGGAAAGTAAGGAATGGAGGTCCTCACTGCTCTTTGGGATTTAACGGTCTAGTTGGAGAGAGATGAGATCCGGGCGTGCAGAGGACGCAGATTTCCTCTGGGTGTTGTGGTAATGCATTAAGTTAACTGTCTGTTTTTACTAGACCCCATTAGTCATAACATAGTCTTATGCTGGTGCTTTCAAATCCCCACACAGACCTACCCAGGATATCCTCTTGCCAGTGTGAAGCTGGGCTGTTTACCTAGATAACACCTTTGGTCGGCTGCGTGTCGAGATCATTTCTGCAGGGCTTTGTTGAAGGGCTGCTACGGTCTGTCTGAATCCCATCTGCCCCAAATGCTAATTATGACCACCTCCTTGGCAGCTTCTCCAGGCCTTAGGGATCCTCGCTCAATTTGCCACAACATCTAGATAAAGACCTCCGGAGTCAGTCCATGAAAAGGAAGGTGAGGAAAATAGCGGCAGATGCTGTCTTTGTCTGGAAGGATGGCCTCTTCGCCACAGCCATTAGAACGTTCTCCATGGTGATGCAGATGAGAATGTAGGCGGTGGGCAGGGAGCAGGGCCGGTTTGCGATTCCGGGCGCATATCTGTTCTCTTGAGTCCATTGTCTGTAGACAACTCACTACCTGCCCTCCTCCCGGCTTCCGCAGTCCCCGGGTGCTGCATTCCTCTGTGGAATGGTCCCATTATGAAGGCACACCTCATTAACGCACTTTCTCTCTCCTCCTGCAGGGGAGTTGCTGAGTCAGCCCAGACCAGAAGGAGTGGCCGAGATCATTTGCCCAAAGAACGGCAGCGAGCGAGTGAATGTTGCCTTGGTTTACCCACCTACACCGACTGTGATCAGCCCCTGTTCCAAGTGAGTTCCAAACACGGTAGCCCCGGTCGCTCACTCCCCATCCTGCTCTGGTAGGTGTGATACAAAGGGCCGAGTGAAAGTGCCTTCCAGCAAACTTTGGATGCTCTCCCAAGGCAGACCTAGGTATCTGGGTGACAGAGGCACCATGGCTTATGTAGCAAACTAGGAATTTTTATTTTTTATTGTTTATGATTTCTTTTTTTTTTTTTTTACTTTTGCTGATTAAAAGTGAGAGCATTTGAAAAAAAAGCATTTTTTAACAGCTTTATCGAGCTGTCATTTCATAGGCAATATGGTTCACTCATTTAAGGTGTGTAGCTGGTTTTTAGTAGATTTGCAGGTATATACATCCAAAAAGAACATTTTTTTTTATGGAAAGTGAGCACCCACTAAGTAAGAAAAGCCTACAGCAAATCCGTGGTAGACAGTTTTTTTCTGTAGGTCTCTGATTCTCAGCCCTTGATAATCATGGCTGTGCAGATTGCCCCCACCGTTCCCCAAACCGCCTGAAACACAGAGAATGTACACGCGTGAACTTTTAGATACAGTGTTTACTTGGTATTACAGATTGAACTCCTCCTGTTTTGGGTTTTTGTTTAGTTCTTTTTGTAGTGTTAAGAACCACAGGCCACTTTTACGGGGCGCCTGGGTGGCGCAGTCGGTTAAGCATCCGACTTCAGCCAGGTCACGATCTCACGGTCCGAGCCTCAAGCCCCGCCTCAGGCTATAAGCGGCGATGGCTCAGAGCCTGGAGCCTGTTTCCCGGCAGTTCGTAGTGCTCTCCGTTCATGCTCTGTCTCTCTCTGTCCCAAAAATAAATAAACGTTGAAAAAAAAAAATTAAAAAAAAAAAAAAAAAAACCACAGGCCACTTTTAAAGTGAGATAAAATCCCTTTTTGCTGCAAATCTTGCAAAGGAGCAGGGCACAGTCTTCTTGGAGATGCTCCGGGAGACAGCAGCGACGTGGCTTGTAGGGCAAAGCATTCATGCGGCAAGCTTGAGTTTTTCTTCCGAGCTGACCCCATAGAATTTTGTTTTCACAGACGAGCTTTTTATAGGGAGGTTCTGCAGTTTGCATCTGAAAATGGTGGCCTGTCCACCTCCCCTTGAGAGACTCGTTATGGGGTGGGTTCCACAACAGCCCCGCGCGGTAGGAGCCCAGGCCTCAGCCCGGAAGTGTCCGTTTGCCTGACTTTCGCGTGTTGTCTGCAGAGCGAGGTGTTCAGTGGGTGCTCATTCCTTAGCGGCTGCAGTAGAAGGGTGCTTTGTCCAAACCAAGTGACTCATTAGAACATCCCTAATTCATCTCGGCTGGAAGATGTCACTAAACACCCACGGGAAACTCTTATCTAATGCTGGGTATTCAGAATGCTATTTTAGCTAACACACACATGGTCTAACTCCTCACGCACGGGGCCCGTAGGACATTGGGAAATTGTGAAGCACTTCTTACGATTACATAGTAGCTTCATACTAACCAGAGCACCCCTTGTCCCTGTCTGTTGTATGAATATATCAAACACAAATGTGATTGTTCTTTGGTGGACGTTGGCCCCTTTCTTTCAGAAACACAGTGGGGAGAGGATGAGGGGGGCTTACAGAAGTAGCAGGGGGTGAGGGAAACCGTTGCACTGGCGTAGGTTTTCCTGAGCAAGCACAGACGTTAACCTCTTGTTTCGCCATAGCCGCGTGGCGTTTAATAGGTGAGATAGAGGTAGAAGTTGAAGTATCAGTTTGCACAAGAAACCACAGTGGCAGCCAGCCAGCCTTATCGGTGCTTTCCCATGGGCTTCTCGTGGTGCTGCCACAGAAAGACATTTATACCAGCCTGGAAAAAAAAAAAACAAAACGCTATCACCTCCTCTGTCTCTCACACGTTATTATACTTAAATTGAATAAGCAGCTTTAAGGTCTTGGGTAATCAGAGCCGCGTAGCCTCAGACATCTAGATGCTGGAGAGAATACCTTTAGGGACTGAACTGCTTTTGACCTAGCTATGTGAATAGTTTTATTTCAAAATGGATTTTTTGTTTTGTTTTGTTTTAAAGCCTCGTACAATGGACAGCGGGTTTGGAGTGTAAGTCTCAATTCTAAATGAAGGAATATCCATGAAAACAAACAGACACTCAGGTCCGGCCCTGCCCAGTGGAGGTCTGATTTATGTCGATGACTGTGTATTGAAAGCAGGAGATTTGGGGGACTGAGGAGGAAAGCCGTCACAGGTGGTGGTTATTATGTAGTCACAGCTTGGGTCTGAACCTGACGATTAAACTTGGGGGTGCCAACAGGCAGTAGGAATTAGGAGTCTGGACCACTGCACTGGCTTTGCAACTCTAGGCCAGTTAACTTTTTAGCAAGGCATAGTAGAGTGATCTTTTACTTCTCTATCATCCCATTAAAATGCAGGTGGGTGGTTGAGATCCATCTTTCTTAATCGGGCTTATGTATGTGAATTTCCAGAGGGAAGGGCCAGGCACTAGTCTTTGGAAAAAACGATAGTCCCCCTGATGATTCTAATGTGTGTATGCTGGACTTTCTGATCTCTGGGCCCCCCTCCATGACTCTAAGCATGGGCTCCCTGGCCAGTGGGCTTTTAGCTTTGTCTATAGAGCCTGTCTCTGGTCAGCAACCGATTGTCAGCACCAAGGCAAAGCTGATCCGTGTGCTACATGGATCAGTAACTTATCGTTCAAATCAGGAAAGGATTGAGGTTGACAGGAGGGCTCTTAATAATTATTCCAGGACAGCAGGCCAGCCAGTAAAGTCTTCAAGGCGTACAAGAATTATCACCCTACTCCTATGTCATTGATGTAGATCTCATGGTGGTTTTTTGAAAAGACAGTCCAAGCTCTTTAACCAGCTTACTCCTCTCCTTTACAGGTCAAATCAGAGACTTGTCATTTAACTGCCTGCCTTTGACCATGTGTAAAATAATGGTGCTGCCATGCGCTTTATAAAGAAAAACCATCGATGACTGTTATTTAACTGGATCTTCCTTATAAATTCCAAGTTTTTCTATTTCTCATTTAAAAATTTTTCTGTGTTTTATTTCCCTATGGGGAGAGACAGAGAATAAAGAGTAAGTAGTGATTTTTTTTTTTTTAAGATGATTTACTTTCATCCATTGTTTTGGTGATTGGTGGTTGGGGTCCCTACCAGGTTTCCATTGGGAAAAGGTCACATGAAAGAAATGCCTCTACTGTACCTCTCCCTCCAGGGGGATACTGAGGAGCTGAGTGGCTTCTTGTCTTTGCTGATTATCAGAAATATGAGTCCTCTCCATACTCTGGCTCTTCTGGGCTGATTTTCAAGGATATTTGCTTTTGAGATGAGGTGAAGACTCACCTAGTGACACATTTGCTAGGTCGCTCTGAAAAACTTCTTACCTCCTTAAGGATGTGGATTCTGTCTGATACACTTTTTAAATAATTTAGTGATTATTGACATTTATTATGTGGTTCACAGCCATCACCACTATCGAATTTTAGAATATGTTCATCACTCCTAAAGAAACCTGTGCCCTCTGGTGTCTAATACAACACATATAGTTCCGGGCAGGCAAGAAATTTTTTCGTGCCGCTTTCAGAATGGCTTTGCTGCTTAGTGTGTTGGTATTAAGCAGACTTGTGAGTTTCAAAGAAATTCTCATCACGTGTTATTCTTGGCCTCGTTCAGTCTAAAGGCAGTGAATTGACTAGCACCCCCACCCCCAATGCCAGCCCCCCATTTATTGGACAGTAGAGAAGTGGGGCTGCTTGCAGGGAGACCTGCCTCCTTCAGACCTTTTTTCTCTTTTTCTTTTTCTTCCTTCCTTCCTTCCTTCCTTCCTTCCTTCCTTCCTTCCTTCTTTTAGCATAGGAGGCAATGTTTTAAAACACAAACTTATTTTGTAGAGAAGCTTTGGGTTCACAACAAAATTGAGCAGAAGGTACAGAGAGATCCCACATCCCTCCTGCCCCACTCTGCACAGCTTCCCTCCACCAGAGTGGCACATTTGTGGTACTAGATGGGCCCAAGGTCCCACAGTTTACTTCATTGTCACCCAAGGTCCACAGTTTACTTCAGGGTCCACTCTTGGTGCTGCATGTTCCATGGGTTTCTATGTCTGCCATTGTAGTATGAAAGGCAGTATTTCCATTGCCCTAAAGGTCCTCTTCCTCCTTCTCTTTATTTATTCCTCGGTCCCCGCCTCCTCCTTAACCCCCGGCAACCGTTGACCTTTTCTCTTCAGCCTCAGTGAAGTATAAGCGACAAATAAAATCGTACGATGGCTAAAGTGTTCATCGTGGTGATGTGATATATGATGCATTGTGAGAGCTTCTCACCACCTCGCTAATCACCCCGTCCGTCACTTCCCATCCCTTTCCGCCAGAAATTCTGGTCGGCCGAACTGACCCCTAGGCATTAAAGGGATACTGAGTCTTGGACATTATGAGTCGTTAAAGGCAGAGTCCTACTTTCAGTGGGAAAAGTAAGGAGAAAGTAGATTCATTGTTTTAATTTATTTTTGAAAATTTTATCTGTGAATTCCTGTCTTTGTCCTGCTGCTCTGTACATTGAGACACTTAAAATTCCAGTTCAGAAGGGAAGTGTGAACTTCTTTAAGCGAATGGCAGCTCACTGTTTGCTTTTAATTTTAGGTACCCTGTACGATGTTCCTCTTTCTCATTTCCAAAGAGGTTTAGAGGAACCCAGCCCCCACCAAGTATATACTCAGATAAACTGCTAGATAACCCAATTTATCTACTGCTTTTCATTAAATAAGTTCTTTTAATGTTTTTTTTAAATTTTTTTTTAACGTTTATTTATTTTTGAGACAGAGACAGAGCATGAACAGAGTAGGGGCAGAGAGAGAGGGAGACACAGAATCTGAAACAGGCTCCAGGCTCCGAGCTGTCAGCACAGAGCCCGACACGGGGCTCAAACTCACGGATTGTGAGATCATGACCTGAGCCGAAGTCGGACGCTTAACCGACCAAGCCACCCAGGTGCACCTGATGTTTA